TTTTTTTTTTTATTTAAATCGTTGGTCTGAAAGGTCCGTAAATTTTGGTCATTATGACATCATTAAAGTCTCGTCATCATTAAGTAAAAAGACAGATCATTTTTAGGAATTCCAAAGTTTTTTACTTTTTTTTTTTTCTTAAAACTAGACCTTCTACGACGTTGTAGTGAAGGCCGTATTTAGTGAAACTGGAAATAAGTTCTTTGCTTTAATGACGTGGTTTTAATTTCGTCGATTATGCCATTTTTTCCCCTCTTTCTTTCGTATTATTATAGTTACTCCATAAGTTCTTTGTTTGCCAACTTGAATTTAACGAAAGCATCTAAAATTTACCTCAGAATACTTTTATATTTCATCCTTACTTCTTTTCAATAACTTCATGGTGCATGGATTGATATTGCAAGCTTTAGAGTCATTAATAGCACCTCTCACGAAGCAAATTGTTTATTCTTCAAAAGTTTTTGTTCACTGATCGAAAAACTGTAGATTTGTTGATATTCTATTTTGGGAAGTCTTGCAGAATGCTGTGCTGTAAGTTTGGTCTCCGCACTGACTGTCAATATTTTTGCTTTTTAAACTTCTTAACCAAGAACTTTCCCGGGTTATTTTATTGTTTGTTTGATAAGTATATAGAAAAAAGAGGGAGTTTTTTTCAGATTTTTTTATCTCTAATGTAGTCGCTAACGGTTTATAAAGTCATTCATTGCAGTGGCTGAGTTTTTAATTAGAATATTTGGTAATCTTTTTTGCTTGTACAGCGTCTTTTTTGCGGTAATGAGTAGGAAGGGTGGAATGGAACAAGTAGGAGGTAATTGATTGTTTGTAATCTACTGATTTTCTTAAGACTCTTCAGTTTGGATAATAGTTTTACTTTTATGATAGGGTTTGAACATAGCAAATTTCACTGAGCATTTTAAGTACACAAAATCAACTTGTGAATTAAAACTGCATGTTGCTTGATTTGTATTAATAAACAACTAATTGTAGTTTTTTCAAGAATATTTTTAAATTGTTGCATTGATAGTAGCGAAGATTGTGTGAATCAGCTACTGAAAAGTAGTTTAACAGTTAGAAAATTTGTCTAATTTATCACTGGTTTACTAAAAGCTAGCTCTTTGATTTGTACTTTTTTGTTTTTAAAACGTAATTAGGACTTGACTTTCAATGACAGTTTTAAAGTTCGGTGTTTTGGATTTGTCACTGTTGAGATGATAATGTGTTTTTGAGTAAATTTACTTTTAGGGACGTAAAAGTTAAAATACAATCATGAGTTTCCAAATACAAAAAGTGTCTTTTAGGACGGGTGACACAGGTTTTTTGTTGTGTATGATTCTGGCATTAAAGGAGGGAACTGTTTAATTTTCTACTTAAGTAAGTTTTAAATTTTTAGAACTTCAGCTTGCTTTTATTGAAAAGCGTATAGGTTCTTGATATGTACTGAGGGCTGCAATCTCTTTCATCTCATTCTTAAGTAGTTTTTATTCACCATTTTGGGAACCAGATGATGCTTCCTCTCAGTTAATATTTTTGGAGTGTTTAATTTTTGAAATGGAGAATATCTGGAATAAGTGTTCAATAAAAACCAACGTTTTTGGGATTGTGTGATATATTTTTACGTTGCAATAAATCTTCCGTTGCATTTTATTTTGTTTTATCATTTAACTTTTGTTGGAATATGATTATGACATCTCGTTGTTTTTAGTTTATAGACTTCTAGTTATACAATTCATTTTTGAATCGTTAGTTACTAGAAACAGTGACGCATTATATCCGGCAGCTTTTAAAGCTGGTTTGAACGTGCGGCTTCTGTTACTTCTAGGATGACTGATTGCGTGAAGGTTGCTATTAGGGCTCGGCCATTTAGTGTAAAGGAGAAAGCGGAGGGTGCAAGCGAGTGTCTTCAGTATTTTGTAGATAATAATCAAGTAGGTGTTAAAAATGTAAAGTGGAATTGGTTCTTTCTGTGTAATTTGCACCATTATTATCTATTTTATTGTTCTACAAATTAATTTCTCGTAGTGCATTTTACTTATTTTAGCTTGCTCTTAATGGTAGATTTTTTGCATTCGATATAGTTTTCGACTCTTCTTGTTCCCAAGAAAATGTATATGAAACATGTGCAGCTCCGTTGGTTGACAAACTATTCGGAGGTTACCGTTTGTTTCTTTTTTCATTTTTCAAGTTTTCTTCTAATTTCTCCGTATTTGGAAGAATTAGTTGTTTTAAATTTGTAGGTTACAATTGTACGCTCATTGCGTACGGTCAGACGGGGAGTGGGAAAACTTACACTATAGGGACTGAAGAAACTGAGGTGAGTGTCGCTGTTTTTTTATAGCTGTTTTGCTACCATTATGTAGATTCCACAACATAAAGTCGCTAATACTGATGTTTTTTAGGAATCGTTAACGAGCGAAGTTAGAGGAGTCATTCCTCGAATAGTTGATGCAATCTTTCGGCAAGCGGACAATTCTACTGCTTAT